ATTTTGACTTTTATTTATGAGTTTTATTTATTTATATATCAAATTTTAGTTTATTTGTGCTAATTTATATTAAAATACAATGTAAGAAGTATAAGTTGTTGAATTATATTTTTTTAAGATACTTTTATAGTGATAAATTTATCTTAAAAAAATTAAAACAGTACTTTATTGATAAATAAGTCTAGTATATAGAGGTGACCTCTAACTCCACCCTCCCTCCCTCTTAATAATAGCAATGCTACAAATTTGGAAGAAAAATCCAAAACATAGTCAGAATTTAACATCTATGTTCAAGATTCACTTAATGTGTGGCTCCACCATAATAAGAGTAATGCTATAGACCACTAATTTACTATCACTAATACCACCACTAATGAGGTGTAAAAAAAAAAAAAAAAAACACTAAGACAGGTATTTGCACAATTTTCTTTGATACGTCATATTATGGTACAAATAGGAGTAGTCAGTTAATACAAACTTTTTTTGTTGATTCATTTGGAGTACCATTGGTTCATTTTTCATCCTCCGCAAGAGTGCATTCGTCCTTGAAATTAGTTTGATGAGATTGAGTCATTTGCTGGGTTGGTCAACCTAATGCTTTTTAAGCTTACGTATTTATAGGATTAAATGTGAAGGTGATTTATAGGTTGACTTGAAAGCAGATTAAATGTGGATGATTTGGTCTTGTTCATCCACACATCATGCACCACACATGCACATCTTTACCTATTGAAATATTATGCATGAATATCTTGTTGTTTCCAACTGAACGAATTTCTGACAGTTTGTGGACAAGAACTCTTCATTTCGTTCACTGCTTGATATCATTGTTCTTTTAACAGGCGGTCAACTGTTTGCGTTTGCTGAAAAGCTTTTCCCCAAAGAATTTTGAGCCTAAAACTACTGGACTTGGAGATGATGATCCTGACACGGAACAACCGGTGAAACTGGGAAAGAGAGGTCAAATCACTGACCAGCTAGTGGAGCTTCCCATCGAACATCAAATCTATGATATGGTTGATGCTGCAGGAGCAAAAGGGATAACTATTACTGAGGTGAGCTCCACTTTGGTGATGGGCTTTTAGATTTTTTTTTTTTTTTGGCGTGTGTGATTGAGTTTGTGTTTTCCTGATTCTGTGGGTTAATACGAATCACAATGGTTTCGCTTATCATAGTTTTTCTAGTTAACGTGAAGATATAAAAAGTCTTGAGATGCTTATCTAAATTTTTGATTGCTCTCTATATCAAAGGCATTTGACTTTAACTTTCCATGATATTTCATCTTAATTATAATCGGGGGAAATAACAATTCAGTATATGTTTGTAAAAATAATATTTTCAGAAATGAGGCTGGAGAGAGGATTGTAGATTTTGCGTTGCTTCTGACCTGCTGGTGGTGGTGGCGGCGGCGGCGGCTAATATTATGTGTAAGAAGAGAGAGGAGTATTTGATAATCTTTAAGGGTGGGTCAGTTAGGAGCTAAATAGATTACTTCTTAATGAGAAAAGTGGACCGCTTAAAATGCAATGATTGTAAGGTGATTCCTGGAGAGAGCCTGACCTATAGAATTTTGGTACTAGATTTATGTTTTAGAGGGCAACACTAGGTTAGAAAGGATGGTGGGCGTCATAGGACGAGATGGTGGGACCTAAAAGGAGAAAAACTAAAAATATTTAAGAATAGAATGGATAAGAAAAGTCCTTGCGACTTGAAAGATGATGCCAATACTATGTGAAACTCGATGGCCAATTGTATGAGGAGAATCTCAAGGGAACTGCTTGGAGAGTCGAAAGGAGCGGGACCTAGCTCTAGGAAAACTTGGTGGTAGAGGGAAGAGGTTCAAGCGGTAGTTAAGGTAAAAAAAGAGTATTTTAACAAGTGACAGAATGATAGAACTGAGGAAAGCCTTAAGAGCTACAGATTGGTTAATAAGGAGGCCAAGAAAGTAGTGAGAGAGACTAAGTGTAAAGCTTGTGATGACATATACACTAGACTAGATAGTAAGAAGAGAGAAAATAGGGTATACAAACTTACTAAGATACGAGAGAGAAAAACGAAGATTTTAATCAAATTAAGTGCATCAAGAATGAGAATTCTAAGGTATTAGTAAAGGATGAAAAGATTAAGGAAAGATGGAAGAACTATTTTGAGAAAATATTAAATGAGGAACATGGAAGTACGGCAATAGGGGAAGGAATAGCCAGTAATACGATAAACCAAGACTATAAGTTCTATCATAGGATTAGGAACTTTGAAGTGGAGAATGCACTCAAGAGGATGAAATCAAATAAGGCTTTAGGAGCCAATGATATTCCTATTGAAACTTGGAAGTGTTTGGGTACAAAGGAGGTTGCTTGGTTGATTAGGTTGTTTAGTAAAATTTTGTTGACTAGGAACATGCCAGATGAGTGGAGGAAGAGTATTTTAGTACCAATTTATAAGAATAAAGCAGATGTTCAGAATTGCAACAACTATAAGGCCCCGTTTGTTTGGGGTTATAGAGAGGGGATTGGGATTACTAATCGCTTGGTATTACTAATGGAGTGTTTGTTTTGAGAGATGAGGAGGGGACTATTAGTCCCTTGGTATTAGTAGTCTCCTTGGAAGGGGGATTGGTAAAGAGGAGGTAGAGATGGTATTAGAAAAATAGTGAAGGGATTAGAATTTTTTTTAATTTTTTTAATTTTTTATATATTGGGATTTTTTTTTAAACATAATGTTTAATTTTTTATATTTTTTTTATTTATTTTATTATTTTATATAAAAATAATTTAACAATTCCTTGCTATCAATCCCCTCACTGTTAATCTCCTCCATTCTATCTCTGAAAACAAACGGGGCCTAAAGGCATCAAGCTAATGTGTCATATAATAAAAGTGTGGGAGAAGGTGATGGAACGCCGATTGCGAGATATAACAAAGGTATTAGAGAATCAATTTGGGTTTATGCCTGGCAGGTCAACAATAGTAGTGATCTATCTTTTGAGGAGAGTAATAGAAAAGTATAGAGAAAAGAAAAGTAACATTCATATAGTGTTTATCGACCTGAAGAAAGCATATGATAGAGTGCCTCAGGGATATAATAGGGTAGGTGTTAGAAAAGAAAAGGATGACAAAAGGTTACATCGATGTGATTCGGGATATGTATGAAGGGGTGGTGACCACTATTAGATCGCCTGTTGAAAATGAATTTCCTACCACTGTAAGGTTACACCAAAGGTCTATCTTAAGTCCTTATCTTTTTGTTTTAGTTATAGATGAGTTGACGAGAAATATTCAGGATGACGTGCCATGGTGTATGCTTTTTGCAAACGATATTGTGCTAGTGGATGAAACTAGAGAATGAGTTAACACAAAGTTGGAGATTTGGAGAAACGCTCTTAAATCTGAAGGATTCCGGATAAGTAGAACTAAGACAGAGTACATAGAGTGTAAATTTAATAATAGTAACAATGAAAGTAGAGGAGAAGTGAAGATTGAGAACCAAGAACTACCTAAGAGTGAACATTTTCGTTATTTATGGTCGATTATCACAACAGCGGAGGGAGATTGATGCGGATGTGGCCCATAGGATTAAGGTGGGATGGTGTAAGTGGAGAAGTGCGTTTAGGGTATTATGCGATAAACGAATACCCACTAGACTAAAAGGTAAATTCTATAGAACGGCTATTAGACCAACGATGTTGTATGGGATAGAGTTTTGGGCAACCAAGAAACAACATGCAGATAAGATGAGTGTGGTTGAGATGAGGATACTAAGGTGGATGTGTGGTAAGACTAGACAAGACAGAATTGGGAATGAATGTATTCGGAAATGGGTAGAAGTAGCACTGATAGAAGATAAGTTGAGAGAGAATCGATTGATATGGTTTGGCCATATTCAACGGAGACCAATAGAGGCAGTAGTGAAGAGATGCGATATTGTAACGGTAGATGGAAGTGTTGGGGGACGGAGTAGACCTAGATTAACGTTGGCTAGCGTTGTAAATAGAGATATAGATCTACTTAATTTGACTAACGAAATGGCCTTTGATAAGGCCGCGTGGAGAAGAAGGATTCATGTAGCCGACCTCATTTGATGGGACTTAAGGTTTGGTTTGGTTTGGTTTAATTGGTGAAGTTAACAATCTTTAATAATGAAAGTCAAACTTTTTCATGAATCAGTAATTATTTTGAACAGATACCACTGATGTGTAATTTCCCCATTTTATAATTGTTGTCATTTTTCCTGTGATTGGTTGCCTTGATGAATTATACCACTTGGGGAAGGCAAACAAGCCATTAATACAGGGCAAAGCCAATGGAACTTAGACCTAGAAAAATCTGTCTTTTACCTGTTCAAAGTCTTGTATGTATTTGTGATGTTGTTCATAATTTCATTATTTAATTTCATCTCTGAATTTTATTTGTTATTGGCGCAAGGCCAACTATATTATCATCTTAGTGTATATATCAATTGTTACTCTGTATGATAGGCAGAAATATGCTTTTGATGTTGCTGATGAAAGAGCATCAATTCCAATTTCACTATTTAAAATTAAACACATGAGAAAGTAGTGCTGCTGGTAATGAAATTTATGAAGTTGCATACTGGAGGGTAGCAAGTATGTATGAATTAGTAATACAAATCACAATGGAGGACTTTTGTTAAAGCTTTGTTGCATTGAAATTGATATCAAATTACATGAAAGTAATTTGAGCGCTGTTTCTTTTAGCGGAGAATGTTTTTAAGAGTTTCTTGCGGGAAACAAACTAGACATTGAAATTAATATCAAATTATGTAGTCCTTACGGGAAATACCCAGAGTTACCTGAAGAGACATGAAAAGCTCAATTAAAATTCTGTACATTGGGTCTCCGATTACTTGTTTTCTGATCTCATCATGATTTAGTTACACGTTTTAACGCACATACAGCTGAATTTTTTTTTGTTTTCTTTTTTCCCTTTTGTCTTTTTCGATTGCTATCATACTCATAAACTGTTGTATGTTTGTAATTTCAGGGGTATTATGGTCATTATACATGGGCTTAATGAGCATAGGTAAAATGGATGACTTCAGTTTGGCCTTCTCATTCTCTTTTGGAGCATATTATTACACATGGTGTTAGTGCTGAACTATCAACGGTTAAAACTGCAGCATTTGATTTAGGACTGCTAACATAAGCTCATTAACGTATCATTTTATATAATGGAATAGTAACTCTACAATTCTTCTGTGATTTTCATTTTCAGCGGACGATATGCTCATTTTGCAAGGCAACTAACCTCATGCAACTTTGGCGTGTATGCAATGGACTGGATAGGTAGCTATACCATGTGATTATCACTAGTTTGTGTTCTTTTGTCATCATGTTTAAAATATGCTATCATCTGTGCAAGCTGCTTTGTCAAATTCATTCCATACCCACCACATTGCATTAATGAGCCTATTTATCCACACATAAAAAACAAAACAAAACAAAAAATTGCATTAATGGGCCTATTAGCTTTTATATTTTTTATCCTCTTTAAGATTTCAAGAACTGACTTGATATACATTTTTCTCATTGATTATCATTGTTGGGACAGATCCCTTTTTATCTCGTAAGCAATCCATTGTGAAGAATTTGGAATGAAATTCTTGACACCCACTGAAATTGTGCTAGGAAAGTTTTGGTACCAAAAGGCTAGTTTACTGAATAGGGTGAATAGAAGGGCATGAGTATGAATGCTACAAATTTAGGCATTTTAAGCAATTACCACCATTTTAATTTTAGTGGCATTTAACCATTTGTTTGGAGATTGATTATTACAATATTTTGTTGTCTTTGTTATTCCGTGAAATTGTGCTGGTCAAAAATTCATCAGCTTATTCAATACTATTAATAATAATGGCTTGCAGCCTGCCCTAAAACAGACGAATTGTTCAATGATGATGATATTCAACAATCAACTTCAATGATGACAGGTGAGCATTATGGTAATTGAGCTATTCTGTCCCTTTTTGTAGGTCATGGTGGGAGTGACGGATTACATGGATACGTGCCTTCACTTGATCATGTTGTTGCAGACACTGTAAGTTCAGTTGTTTCCATAACTCATTCACCCTGCTACTTTTACTCAACTGAGTGAAACACAAGAATATATTTCCAACCTATTTCAGGTTAAATACATGAATCCTGTGGTACCTTTCTATGCTCTTTATTTTCTCATCTATGCCAAGTGCCTTTTTCACTACCTCAGCCTGTACCCTTATTTTGGGCAAAATACATAACTTCTTAGCACACCTTTAACCTAAACCATGCCACTGGTACTTTCTAGTTATTATCTTGATCTGGTGCTGCATGAGTAGTTTATCACTTGTAATTCCTTTTGTATGTATCTATAAGTAGAATTAATTGTTGGTTCATTTTATATGGTTTAATAAATTTGTTTTTTATTTTTTTTACAGGGGGCTTTCTTGGAGAAGATCAAATCGGAATACCCTGGGATCCCATGCTTTCTCTTTGGTCACTCAACTGGAGGAGCTGTCGTTTTGAAAGTAAGGCCATTCAACGGATTTTTGCATACTATTCTAAGCTCAATAGATTTCTAATTACCCTTTTATATTGATAATCTGCTCCTTTTAAATAGGCAGCTTCATATCCACACATTGAGCAAATGCTGGAAGGAATTATACTGACATCACCAGCTTTGCGTGTTAAGCCAGCACATCCAATAGTTGGTGTAAGTTTTTTTTATCTCACAAATGGTTTGAAACTGTCGTTAATGATTCTTTTTGACCTGCTAAACATTATCCAATTTGTACTTAATTTCTTAAAAAACTATATTAAACTTAATATATAAAAAATTAAAACATCAATTGCCTATCTATTGATAATCCAGCAGGCACATCATTGTTTGTACCTAGGAGAAATCCAATTCAAAACAGGTTTCCATTAGTTTTTTTTTTTTGGGTTTCCAATTGGAACATCGAATTTTACATAGATCAGTAGAACAAAAACAAATGTGCCCTTTTTATGACGACGTAAAAATGTTGTTACCACCTTTATGCAGGCTGTGGCTCCTTTGTTTTCGATGGTGGTTCCAAAGTACCAGTTCAAAGGTGCCAACAAAAGGGGCATTCCAGTTTCAAGGGATCCCGCAGCACTCTTGGCCAAGTACTCCGATCCATTGGTCTACACAGGACCCATGAGGGTTCGAACAGGCCATGAGATCTTGCGTATCTCCTCTTATTTGCTTCGGAACTTCAAGTCCGTGACGATCCCATTCTTTGTCCTCCATGGAACTGCAGATAAAGTAACCGATCCATTGGCCTCTCAGGATTTGTACAACAGGGCAGCCTCAGAGTTCAAGGACATAAAGCTCTATGAAGGGTTCTTGCATGACCTGCTCTTCGAGCCCGAGCATGACGAAGTTGCTCAGGATATTATAGATTGGATGGAGAAGAGATTATTAACTTCATGTAATCTTGAAAATATTAATAGTCAGTGGTAATTTTTATCTTTTTGTTAATAAAAATGTGTATATAGGGTTTTTCGTGGGATGGATCATGTAGATGATTTGTTTCTTGAATTAGATTTCGTCTGACCTCTTGAACCTCTTGTAAATGAAATCCTGTATTTTATTTTATTTTTGGGTACTACAAATAGACTTTAACAGCTTTCTGTACTATGCACAATCTCCTTTTCGTTTGTAAGATTGAATCATGAATATATATAGAAAGCAGAAGCTAACAATTATGGGTATTGAAAAATTGTCATATATATATATGCATTCATACATTCCTATGGATCTTAATAGTAACACATAACAAAAATGTTTTATTTTTAATTTTTCTTCTTCTTGAAGAGATTAAGAATTTCGGGATAAAATAAATGAGAAGAAGAAAAGGGAGCAGAATATATTCTCTTAGTTGGAAAATTTTGCACTAACCCATACCGGGTGTGCATTAAAGCAACTCTGATTGTCATTTTGGCAATGTTAAATTCATATATTGGCATTTTATAGTTATCAAAATATTATAATTTCACAATTATATTCTTATTGTGCAAATATATGTTTTAAAATTTTGCTTCCGCACCGCTCTGATATTACATCAAAACTTGCAACTATAATATAAATAAGAGTTAATTATTTGAAAGTCTTATTTATAAAAACTATGGTAGTTCAGATTTTGTCTAAGATTTTTTGTATCAATAAATCCTATTTACTAAAATTAAAAACATTATCAGTTTTTTCTATTTTTAAAACTAAGAATATTATCAATTTTGCACAACAATATTCTAGATAATTATTTCACTAATTGAGAGAAATAAAAAAATAAAAAAAACAGAGCATGAGATTAAACGTTTTTATCCTTCTACTTATTGGTTTGATTCAACTATCCAATAAAACCCGATAATATTATCAGTTTTTTTTTTCAGTTTTAAAACTAAGAATATTATCAATTTTTTCATTTAAATTTTTTTTTTCAGTTTCACACATCGATGTTCCATCATCATACTCCTTTATAGACACAAAATTTTCAGTTTTCTACAAAAAAATAATTCAATTTTTTCATTTTTTTTTTCTTTGCACAGAATTTTTTTTAGTTTTTTCAATTTGAAAGTTGATATTTAAAGTTTTGAATATCAAAATAAAAATCAAATCATTATATTCCTTTATAGAATAATTATAAATGATAAACAATCATTGTTTGAAGGACAATTTCAACTATTAAAATTTTAATGAGATTTGAAGGTCCAAAAAATCTTTGTTAGAACATAATAAAGTGTAAGTTCATAAATTTAAAATTGTGTGTCAATGTCCCTATAAACAATACATATAGGGAGAGTTCACATACGCTTGTCAAAATACACCGTCATAAGATCTTCTGTTTCAAATTATTTTATATTTTTGTTTCAAAACACTCATAACTGATAGATTATATCTCAAGATTTTTATATAATCAAATAATTATGAATATTTTGATATAAGAAGACATATTGATGCACAATAAAAATGTTACTAATATCTTTTCCAATAGAATCAAATTAAAAAATTTAAAGATTGAATATCATTGACCACATACTATAATTCGTCTATGAACACTAGCATTTAGCAACCAAACTTAATATAAACAATGCATAATCCACATACCCTTTCCAAAACACACAAGGTTCTTACATCAACACTAGCCACAACTTCAATAATAAGTGTACCTTTTTCTTTTTCTTTTTTTTTCTTTTTCTTTTTGTAACAACACAATAAGATGGAGTCCACAACATTTATAACCAAAGCCCTTAGCTAGACACCACAAGTTTTTCAAGGTCATATCAACATGAAAAGCTTTAAAAATATAGAATTAAAACACAATAATAACTATGAGTCAAGGGGTACACTTCACATGTAAAGGACTCCACATGTGAGTTCCATCATTTGTCTCATGTATGTGATTATTTTTGTGCTTCAAATTCTATATTCCTAACACTGCAATACTAGCAACAACGTTAATATGTAAAACATATAACCAACATTTATTGAAGTAAAGTCCATCATCAACCAGTAGACTGGATTGCTTTCCCAATATTCTCAGCCATGGTGTGGATAGAGGTATCAATATAAGCCAAGAAACTATCAAATGTGAACCCTTCGATTGGATCAGCGCTATACGACCACTCAATCTCGCACCCATCCTCTTCACCACCGTCGATTGGCAATATTTTGATAGTAGAGAAGTATGACCTGATGCCCATGTTATTATCCAGGGCCTCATAGTTAAAATACCATTTGCTGGGATCAATCTCAAGTAACTTCTCATGGCACCACTTGATCACCACCTCATCGCTGCCACCAGATGATGATGTTATGGTGGAGGAGCAGTACCGGATCAGCCCCGGCTTTCCATCCTCCCCCTCAATTTTGTAGCATGTGTCAATACTAGGAAGGTACTTGGTTAGGTTGAAAAAGTCTGCCAAGTGAGGCCATACTTCTTGTGGTGTTGAGCCTACAAGATTGGCTGAGGCTTTGCCTTCCCATTTAGACTCTGCCATGAGAGAGAGAGAGAGAGAGAGAGAGTGAGAGAGAGAGAGAGAAGCTTATGGTTTGGAAGATTAACATAGCTACCCTAACATATCTATATAGACGAATAATTGGTAAACGAGTTGATAATGCCCAACAGTGCAAAAAAACAAAGTTGCACTTTAAATAATTTTATGTGCTCTGTAAGAAACATATACTGCAATTTTGGCTTGCTCAAGTTCAACTAAACAAAGTTCTGATAAAAAATAAAAAGTAAAAAATTCAATTAAACAAAGTTGATAAAAAAAAAAAAGATCCAATAATGGTTATCAAGGCCTTTCTTAGGCAATGTGCATTGTGTGGGAAATCGGGAATCAACTTTATAACTTAACCTTTAAATTTGTGTGCCACTTGTAAATTCTATGCACTCATATCCACTATTCACATATAAAACATCTTAAATCACAAACAAAAATAAAAGAAAATAGAAAAAGAAAACAAATGGAAGACAAACAAACAACTTTAAAGAGTAAAGTGGCAAACTCATTGCCTAAAAAGAATTATAGATTCTTTGAGTCTTTCTATAACAAATGTAGACAATTGGAGAATTTTACTGTACTCATTTATTTTTTTGTTTGTGTATCATAGACCTATGTGTTGTTTAGTTCTGCCCTAATCAAATTATTTTGAATTTTTTTTTGTATAAATTATATGTTGTATTAAATCTTCGTTCTTATTATTGTAATTTATTGAATTTTATCGTAATATGAATCAAATCAAAAAATCTATATGCCAAATCAAATTAAGTTATAAATTTTGGAATATTTGGTTATAGTTCATAGTGATATTTGATTATGATATATAACAATTATATATTTTGTTATCATTTACAGTAATGTTGATTATGAATCAAATTAAGAATTTAGATTATTTTTAAAAGATTTAACAATTGAAAATGATTGTGCATGTATAAGCATATTAGTCATTACACAGATTTTGATTCTTTTTATGACATAACGTGATGATTAAGCTAAATGCATGTGCATCCTTCCAATTTTATAATGGCAAATGTTAACAAATGTTTTTGGAGTATTTTTAATACTAGAATTTGTGTTTAAAAAAATTGAAATGATAAATAAATAAATAAAAAGGCTTTGAAATCAATAAAAAATATTATCCCACCCAAAAATAAAAAATATTTTGAAGTTAGTGAAGAGTATCTTTTATCTTTATTTTATAACTTTTTTAATCTTTTTCTTGTGTTCAAAAACACTTATTAATAAGACACTTTTATAATTATCATATTAATATAACCTGATGCAGACTGAATTTTAGAAAATAAGTATTTTTATTTTATTATTTTAAAATTAATATTTGACCATGAATATTCTAAATTGGTATAGAATATTATGGAATTATTTAGTTATTTAGTTTCCTAATATAATATGATGTAGTTTTCCTATTTTCTTAGTTTTGATTTTATTTCCTATTTTATTTGTTTCTTGTTCTACAAGAATTAGGTTCATTATAAATAAAGATGTAAAGCCTTAGGGCTCTAGCATTTTTTGATGATTAATATATTTTGAGTTTTATTACTCTTTGTTCCAACTTTGGTTAATTCTGTGTGAATCAACTTTGGTTGATGAGCCTTTAAACTCGGTATTCTTGGGAATCAACGGGTCTAAAGAGGAGTCTTATTTCCGGTATTCTTGTGTGAATCAACGGATCTTAAGATTGTTACTTTTGTTTCGATCAGCACTGCATCATAACCTAAACGATCTAGTCGGCAAGCTCTACATGATGAAGAGTTCAAATTATGTAGATATGTTCGAGATGAGCCCACAATAAATAAATTATACCATTTAGTCTATTTTCAAAAATAGAAGAGATCCTTACTCAAAAATCGATGGAAGAGCAAAGGCGAGAAGAAGGGTGGATACCGGTGTTACGAAGAAGACAGTGGCGAAGGAGTAATGTCAGCTCAGGTATGCACACCCTGTTCGTAGATAACATCCCGGAATCAATGGATCCTAAAGGGCTCTTCACTTTCTTTAACAATTTTGGAATTGTTAAGGATGCTTTCACACCGAACCAAAGAAGGAAAGCAACACAATCCAGGTTTGGGTTTGTAAGGTATGATTGTGTGGTGGCAGCTCAAGTAGCTATACAAAAAGCAAATGGGATTTGGTGTGAAAACCGATCATTAATCATTAAGAAAGCAGAGTTTGATAAGAATAAGGAGAAGGGTGTAAAGAAGCAGATGCTACGCGGATCACGACCATGGATGATGGTGAATGGTTCAAAGTTTATGGGAAGAAGATCATATGCAGAGGTGGCAAAGGGTGAAGGAAATAATAAACATGCTGTTGTAATTAAAGCTATTGAAGTCGGTAATGGCTAGCTTTATCAGAGCATTATTGTCAAACTTAAGGCCCATTGTTCTTTCACGGAATTCAGGAAGGAGTTTTGGGGCAGAAATTTAAAGAATATTCAGCTACGTGAAGGAGGAGGCAGAGAGGTTATTGTAACTTTTAATTCAGTTGATGACATGAAAAATCAAAGACACATCTTGGGGGATTGGATGAATGACTGGTGTGATTCTACAACAGAATGGAAGAAAGGTTTACAACTGGAATAGGAGAGGCATATATGGCTAAGCTGTTATGGGGTACCCCTAAATCTGTGGAACAACATCACCTTTACCAGAATTGGTGAAATCTGGGGTGCAGTGACAACCATTGATGAAAACACATCGGCCATGACATCTTTAGTTTGTGAAAAGATTCGTATTGTAACATCACATATGAATCCGATCAATAAAGTTATTCATTTGGAGTGTAATGGGTGTTTAGTCCCAATCTGAGTATGCAAAGAACAGAAAATTGTAGCTGCCGCTTGCAATGGTGTATGTTCATGTGAAGAAAGTAAATTCAAGGAGGACATTTCTATCAACAAAGAAGTGGTGAACCAAGTTCACGGTGGAAGAGAAGACCAAACTGTGGCCACCGGTGACAAGGTGGATTCCAAGGTGATACAAGGTAGATTGGAAAATTTAGAAGCTGTTAAATCCCTTACCCCAATATCGGTTTCCAAGGTCAATGAGACGTGTATGAGCATGGGAAATTGGAAGAATACAACAAACAACAACGCATGCGTAGTGGAGGACTCATTATGTGGGTTAGATGTAGGTAATTATAGAGTTGATGATTGTTTGAATACATCTGGATTCATAGAAAGCTTAAATGGAGCAGTCATATATAGGCCCAACATTATTCTTGAAGTTGTGTTGGAGAGTAATCTAAACCCAAGTAAGCCCATGGTGGTCAATACTGGGCCAGGTAAGGTGTGTGAAGTCCAAACTTATAAACAAAATTGGATCAACACAACTATGTCCTATAACTCAGCCCAACAATTACCAAATTGTAGGCATGCTGTGTTGGGCTCATCGTCTAACACACTTTGTAATCCCCAGGGACAACTTAGAAGGGTTACCAAGTCTTGTCGTGTTTCAGAAAGCAGAGATAGGTCAAAGAATGGAAGAAGGAGAAAAAAAGAAAATTGGATAAGAATGGGTTTTACAAGAGGTGCGATCTTCAGGGCAGCTACAGCTACACTCTCTTCTTCAATTTCACACTCCAGTAATTCCCTTCGAAAAAGAAACCTGGTTAGTGAAGCTAGGGCCACAATTCAGTTGGGGAAATCATTAGGAATTGATTATGAAGGGAAAGATTTACATATGGCTAACAAAATCATGGAAATGGAGGAGCAAGATGGGAATTACGGGGGGCAAATGCTGAGCAATAAGGCAGCAAGTATGGGTGGCAGAGGTGGTTTGATTGGTTATTATGAAGATTATATCTTGGAATGTAAGAGGGTTGAATAGACCTGAAAAAAGAAGAAGAGTAAAGGATATACTCAAAGAGAAAATGGTAGATATGGTGTTATTTCAAGAAACGAAGAGATCGAGATTATCAGCTCAATTTGTAAAATCCTTATGGTATAGTGACTCAATTGATTATTTGGAAGTTGATTCGGATGGTAGTGCTGGGGGCTTACTTTGTATCTGGAACCCAGAGATATTCCAAGTTGTTGATTGTTGCAGCAATCGTAATTTTATCATTCTTTCAGGTATGAATCACCCATAGTTTAGAGTGTGTTATTGGCAATATTTATGCACCGAATGATATTATATATATGAGAAGCTTGTGGAATGCTTACTTAGTCTCAAAAAAGGTTTTCCAAAACCCTAGTGTATATGGGGTGGTTTTAACGAGATTACGTGGCTATCTGAAAGAACGGGTTGCTTAAGGAGAGAAAGAGGTATGAAAGATTTCTCAGATTTTATAGATAAAATGGAAATGGTAGACTTACCAATGATAGGGAGGAGGTACACTTGGTGTAAGGCACAGGATGGTGATAAATGAAGTAGGCTAGATAGATTTTTGTTAAATGTTGAATAGATGGAATGGTTTAAATTCAAGTTGTGGGGATTACCTCGATTTGTATCAGACCATTGTCCAATACTGTTGATGGAAGATGGGAGGAATTGGGGTCCAAAACCATTTAGATTCATCAATGCTTGGTGTACTCACCTTACTTTTTTGGGGGTAGTTAAACATGCTTGGGAAGAAGCACATGTGTCTGGATGTGCAGGGTATAAAGTCTTTAAGAAGTTGCAATTACTCAAGGCTGAACTAAAGAGGTGGAACATGGAGGTCTTTGGGAATATAGGGACTAAATTGAATCTGCTGAAGAGGAATTTCATTCGTGGGACTTGGCTACAGAATCTAGATTATTGCAAGACTTTGAAATTAAGAGGAGAAGAGAGCTGAAAGGCGAGGTTTGGAAATTTTGAAAAATGGAGGAAAACTTATGGTTTCAAAAAGCTAGGATGAATTGGGCTTTAAAAGGTGACAGGAATACAAGGTTTTTTCACATTATAGCCAATAAGAGATAGAATAGTATAATGTTGGACACCATAAATGTGAATGGGACAACAGTGGACGATCCAAAAGAGATAAGACAAGTGGTGTACAATCATTTCAAGGAAGTTTCCAAAGAATATTGGAGGGACAGACCCAAAATAACTGGATCCTTTAATGGATCCTTTAATGTCATCCCACAATGTTATATTTTAGAAGTATTAGAAAAAGAGTTTACAGAAGCAGAAGTGTGGAAAGTGGTAAAAAAATGTGATGGGAACAAGGCCCCAGGCCCGGATGGCTTCAATTTAATCTATATTCAAAAGGGCTGGCAGGTAATGAAGTCTGACTTGTTATGTTTTTTGAAGGAGTTCCATGAGAATGGCAAACTAGTAAGTGCCTTGAATTGTTCCTTTGTAGCATTGATCCCTAAGTAGGACAAGGCAACAAGTCTAAATGAGTACAGACCAATTAGTCTCATCGGCTCTATTTATAAAATTCTTTCAAAGATCCTAACTAATAGATTGAAGAAGGTACTTTCAGAGATCATCAGTGAAGTCCAAACAGCTTTTCTGGGGGGTAGAAATGTAATGGATGGTATTCTGATTGCTAATGAGGTAGTGTATTGGTGGATGAAGAACAACAAAAAAGGTTTAGTTTTGAAATTGGATTTTAAAAAAGCGTATGACACTGTGAATTGGAATTTTTTATTTGACATGCTACATAAATTTGGTTTTGGGGCAAAATGAGTGGAATGGATGAAGACATGTGTCTCTACAGCTAGAATCTCAATTCTAGTAAATGGGTCTCTAGCAGAAGAATTCTCTCCACAAAAAGGTTTAAGGCAATGTGATCCCCTCTCACCTTTTTCATTTAATATTGCTGCAGAAGGGTTGAACATTTTGTTAACAAGAGCTAAAGACTTGGGCCTAGTGAAAGGAACAAGAATTGGTGTAAATGATTTTAACATATCCCACCTTCAGTTTGTTAATGACACTATTATTTTTTGTGAAGCTGAATGGGAGGAGATTGTAAATATAAAAAGAATCCTTAGGTGTTTTGAGGTGATGTTTGGCTTGAAGATAAATTTTCATAAGAGTGTAGTTTGTGGTATTGGGGTTTCAGTTGAGTTGGTTGAAGAATTTGCTGCAAAGCTAAATTGTTCACATCAAAATTTACCATTGAAGTACCTAGGTCTGCCATTGGGTGCCAACCCAAGAATAAAAGCATTTTGGAAACCAATTTTGGATAAGTATAAGGTGAAGCTTGCTGGTTGGAAAAGAAAGGTACTATCTTTTACTGGGAGGATAACAATGATTAAAGCTGTGACATCCAATCTTCCTCTTTATTATATGTCCATTTTTAGAATACCTGTGGGGGTTGCTAAAGAAATAGAGAATGTTCAAGCTAATTTTTTGTGGGAAGACACAGAAGTGAGACGAAAAGTTCACATTGTCAAGTGGAAAGAGTTAACAATTAATAAAGCTAAAGGTGGACTGGGAATTCATGACATCAGAATTGTGAATTCTTGCTTACTACTGAAATGGTGGTGGAGGTTTGGATTTGAAAAGAATGCTTTGTGGAAAAATCTTATATGCAGCAAATATAAGACTGAAGGGGGGAAATAGTTCCCTCACATGGTTATAAATGCATCCATGTCATCTGTTTGGAGTGATATCATTGGTGTACTACCTTCTAACAATGGTCTATTAAGGTACTTCATGGAGAATATCAAAATAGTAATTGGAGATGGCAATAGAATCTCATTTTGGAGTGACATTTGGTGCGGGGAGATAAGATTACTAAAGTGTTTCCCTAGACTCTTCAGTCTGTCTTTAGATAAGAATGAAATACTAAAGTTTTTTGTCAGTAATAAGCTAAGTTTGTGCAACTGGAATCTAAGGTTTAGGAGACAATTTTTGGCTTGGAAGGAGGAGGAAGTTGCAAAATTACAAACTTTGTTGGGATCAGACCCAGTGTTAATTACTGGAGCAGAGGACTCACTCAGGTGGAATGCTGACAACTCTGGGATTTTTTAAGTTAAATCAGTGTTCAATTGGTGTGAATCACTTTGGGGTCCAAACTTAGCCTTACCTCCCCTTATCTGGAATAATCATGCCCCTCCAAAGGCACAATTCTTAACTTGGCTGGTTTGGAAAAGTAGATTAAAAACCTTAGTGTGGCTTCAGAGACTTGGTGTCATACATAATGGTATAGATGTAGCCTGTGCCTTTTGTAAATCTGAACCAGAAACAGTGGACCATATTATGCTTAATTGCCCTTTTGTTTGGAAAATATGGGTTGAGATAATTAACTGGTGGGGGTGTCAATGGGTAACTCCTGAATCCATTGTAAGGTTGCTCAATTGGTGGAATGGCTGGAAATTCAAGAAGGATGAACTGCAGATTTGTAAAGCTTTTCCATGTACAGTGTTGTGGTCAATATGGAAATATAGAAATGACATAATTTTCAACGGTACTCAAACAACTTATGTGGCCTTAGCTAATCTTATCAAGACAAGGGTAGCAATCTGGATAAACAACCACTCTTTGGGCAAGTTTTACTCTGTTCATGACTTTGTGAATAATCTACAGTAGATGAGAAAGTCTATTGGTTCAGGGAAATGAAAATTGTAGTGTGGGTCATCTCAGTTTTTTAGATTAATGGCTGGTGTGAAATTTGTAAACTCAAGAGTAATGTGGCCTGCTGCTGATTGGGGTTTGTGACACAGGGGAGTGGTATTAGGGTCAATGAGCTTTTGTCCAGGGAGAGCAGTAACAGTAGCATTGTGGTTTCTTGTACTGCTGTTGTGAGCTTTTGGTTTCCAATCTAATTGGGTCAGTGAGTGGGTTCTTGCTTTGTGGTTGTGAGTTTTCTTGGTGTTTTGTGAGTTGATCAAGATCAGGACTACCACATGGGTAAAACCTTATTGAAGGACTTCAACTTTTTCAACCCAAGTCTTTATTCAATTTAAGGCAGATCAGGCTCCGATTGGGAAGTTCAACTTTGTCTTTGGCAGGGATCGATGCGATTCACAATGATAGCCATCATGGTGATAGCAGATTTAAAGATCAGTATAAATCGTTCTTTTCAAATATTTTCTCTACATCATGACATGAGGAAGTGAGGCATTGCTGTTATTGTGTTTCTAGTTTGGTGATTTTGTTTCTGTTCTTATGTTGCTATTAGAGTCTTAATGATTTGGAGCTGCTTGCTACACTATATTGCACCCGAAATGGTGGCTTCCCTAACTTCCGCTGGCAGCTGCTGCAAGAAATAATGCATAGGAGTTTTGTGTGTTTGGTTGAATGGTGATTGATTGGTGGTTTCTCCAACCTCTGTTGGTAGCTGCTGCAAGAAATAATGGTATACTAGGCTACTGGATTGATCTGTTATGCTTGGCTGAACTGCTATGCTTGGCTGATGGTCTGATTCTAGCCAGAGGTTTGCTGATTTGCTCTGTGCTTTGCTGCTATGTCCCTTAGTAGAATGATTTGTTATCTGTGGACTGTAGTGGGATTTGCTAAACTGATCTTGGATAGTCCAGCAGAGGATTTTATTGCTGCATTCTGATGTGGGTGGAGTTTAATAGTTGCAAGGGGCGATCTTTATCATTGGTTGATTCTAAAGGAATGTGTTGTGGTGTTTTCTGGTGTTTGCAGTTATGTGGTTTCTAGTGTTTGCTAGTTTTGTTTCTGCTCTGTATGTTGGTTACTCACCAACTTGGAGCTTGGAGTTTGTACTAGCAGATGATTTGGTGTGCATCTAGGTGCCAACTTAATTGGGATCTCAATGTTTCACTGTGATACTTTTTGCACTCTCCTCTTTATTGATGTATGTTACCATACTTTGTATATTTTTCTATCGATAAAGCTTTCTTTTTGCTAATAAAAAAAGAAAAGAAAAGAAAAGGAAGAGATCCTTACTCATTTATAAACCAGAGAGACAAGGAGGGAGAACCCTTGCTCATTTATGACCATGGAGACAAGGAGGGAGACTAACGACACCGATTTGTAATTACTTTAATTTGTAAATAAATTATATGAAGATAGAAGATGAATATGGATTTGGTGTGATTTTCTCTTATATTATAGTGTAAATTTTGGACAATTTAATCAAACAATTTGACAACATTGTATCTTAACGTATACTCAAAAATTTAAAAATAATGTGTGGACATAAAACTAACTAATTAGAGTAACTGTATGCTAATAGAGGAAAGTAGGCTTTTATAAACTATCATATGCTGATTTAAAAATTTAAAAAAAAAAAAATTGAGAATTTTGTTATTGTTGGGTGTGAAAATAAATAAATAAATAAATGAAGTCAAACGAATCCAAATTAATTTGTGCAATTTGAGAAGGTGAGGGGTCGGGTTAGGTGAGTTTGATGATGAAATTTGACGGGTTGATTGGCTATCAAATTACCTTGCACTAACACAAACATAAGAACACTCTACCTCTCTCTAACCTTAATACAATTAATAAGATGACTCTCCTCTCTCATTTTAATTACAATTTTTTTTAATTTGGTTGTTTTGTATTTTAATTTATGAATTATGATTTTAAATAACATCATACATTCGATTAATTTGTGAGTTTTGTATTATAATTTATAATAAATAATATTTTTGGTTTGAAATTATTAATAAATAAAAATTAAAAAAAAAAGATTATGTTTGCTAATTTTTTTTTCTCAATTTTTATTTCTAATCCATTGATTTAAAACAACCAAATATTCAATCAACTTGTCAATTTTGAGAATGGGTGAATTGACAATGTGTTGAAAATTTCTCAATCCATTAAACGTTATTTAATTAATGATTTTTACTCAAAATCAACCTAATCCAATTCATGCACAACCCAACTTGCTAATTGCATGTGCATGAAATTTTTTCAAGAACGCGAGATGGAGAGTGATATGATGCAAGTGGCCAACAATCGATTAGTTAGATGAAGTATTTTTTTTACCAAACGTGATATTTAGATTTGAGTTACCGCCACTTCTCTTATACTGATTATATATATTGGAAGGAGGATTTCTTTGATTCATCCTTGAATTATTTTGAATTAATTTTCTAAATTAAAAAATATATATGTTCAATTCATAATTGTTATTATTTTATTTTTTTGAAAAAAAAAAGGAGCAACTTGTGGATATAAAAATTTGGGATGTTAACATCAAATCAAACATGCAGGTACACCCCTACAAATAATTCCACAACTAGAAATAATAAGCCCCACCACATGCAATAATTTAGATCATTGGATGCCAACGAATTGAGACCTTTCTTTCTTGTGATATGGAATTTCGTGTATCAAACGTATATACAATCTATTCGATGCCTATCTCAATAGAACTTTGAGCATATGTATATAATGCTTAATTTTTATTTTTATTTGTATATACGTAGTAATAAATTCATTTTTGGTTGGTGGAAATGAGAACAACAAAATATTAAGTTATTTTATTAATCAACAATTTTTATGTCTTAAGGGCAGATTTAATTAATTATTTGATAAATGGTGATGAAATAATTGATTAATTTGAAGAGCGACCTAGGCACACCAAGTTGCAAAGAATCATACAAGAAAGAGTTAAAAAGATTGCTCGAGACAAGCGGAGTCAATAGTCCAAAATTAATTGATATAAATTTTACAATTGATAAATTTCGAACTCATTATGTCTACGAGAAGGCCTGGATTACTTTGATACGTACTCACCTGTTACTAGGATAACATCCATTCGGATGGTGATTGCGATTGCTGCTTTGCGCAATCTAGAAATTCACCAGATGGATGTAAAGACAGCTTTCTTAAATGGAGATTTGAATGAAGAAATCTACATGGAGCAACCTGAAGGATTTTCAGCTCCAGGGCAAAGCAGGAAAGTTTGTAAACTTGTCAAATCTTTGTATGGTTTGAAGCAAGCGCCTAAACAATGGCATGAGAAGTTTGACAACGCAATGTTGTCAAATGGGTTTAGAATCAACGAATGTGACAAGTGTGTTTATGTCAAAGACACTATATGTTGATGATATGCTCATTATAGGTAGTAACGATGAAATGATCAAAACTACCAAGAAGTTGTTATAATTTACAATAGTCAAAAGTCAAATAATAATGGGGAAATTAGCCATCCGTGCTACCATAGAAAACATATTACAAAATTATGGAAAAAATTATGTATTTAATTATTAATATGTATAAATTTTATTTATTTATTTTTTTAAAAAAAAATTCAAAACATACACTGCATTAAAATTTCCCCAATAATAATCCAAACCAAACAAAGTTGTAAAAAGCAAAGTGACTTGCAAAGTCTACAAAAGAAAACGACCCAAACACTCAAGTCAATCATCATTCCACTTAGCCCGACCATTTAAAGTAATTATTTTGTCTTTTTAGAGGACTGCTGAATCAACATAAATAAGTCCCTGTGTTCAAAAATAAATAAATAAATACATAAGTCCCCCTTTTTTTATTTTTTGTTATTAGTGTTATTTTTTTTTAAACTTACATCAATTTTTTATGTCTAATGTAAAAATATCTATTAATTTTTTTAAAAAAAATACTAAAAACTAAAAATGAAAAATGAAAAATCAATTTATTTTGATTTTTTTTTATTGTTGATAAACTTTAAAAAAAAAATTATTTTATTTTTTTACTTTTGATCTGTTGAGTTGAGTTGAGCATAAAGCAAAGCATTTATTTAAAAAAAATTATTTCAAAACAAAATCATTACAAAAAAAAACCTAACTTTAAAATATTATTTATATATAAATGCATAGAAGGTTCGGTTCAAGAAATAACAAGTTACAAAACATTATTTATAATGAAATACATAATGACATGTCATCCGAGCTTCCTAGTTAGATCATCCTCCATTTTCTCAGCCATGCTCTGCCAGATAAATCAAACATTTAATTAGTATCTAGTAAACATATCTAATACTTGGCAAAGAAAATTACAACTCAACCACACTTCATTACGTCCATTTCAACTAAGAAATCATAATCCAACAATTTTGTTGTATAAAAACGTATATGTTCTTAACCCAATCATAACTCAAACCATTCCCAATGTGCAATCTATGTACAAATAAAAACACTCTGGTTATGGAATATCCATATAACTCAAGGAATGCAACAACACAACCGAACCTAATCAATACAGAAAAAGTGGAAAAGAAAAATATAAGTAAAACACAGAATCTAATGGCTGAGTGGTGTCAGTGTCTTACCCTTATACTATTATATGTAACAAGTTACAAATGCAAGCCAACTGCACAGCCAGCAGATATATATATATATATATAACAAAATAAATAAATAAATTAAAAACAAGAGCAGAGTCATACCTGGCGAGGGCATTTTTTGGCTTCTCATTGCTAATACAGTAGTTCTTATCAAATTCAAGATCAGAGTCAGATAAGGCTGCCTCAGGAATGGGACACAAGTCAACTCCAAAGTCATCAAAGTTGTCCGTTTCTGCATTCTATTAAAATTTTAAAAAGTCAAGAAGTAGAAGGAGATAAAAATTAGGATAACAAGCAGAAACATTAATAAGGTCACAAGATATCATGTAAAGACCATGGGCTTTCCTGAAATAAAACAGCAAAAAGATAAGTCATAGGAAGTCAGAGGAAAACACCAGAAAGGCCTGTCCAATGCAAAAGCCACATTCCGCCTTTAAGATTACATGTTATGAAGCATGAATACTTTTAAAAGGGTGCCGTACAATATGTATACATACATGATATACACAAAAATATTGCCCCGTATCCTGCTTCTAAAAAAATTCATGCTAATGTATCCGTATCGTGCCATACTCATATCCTACATCCTTATTCATGCTTCATACATTACATTTAAAGGTGCTCAAGTTGTACCAAAATCCTATCCCCAGGGTGTTGACACAAATTTCGCAAGTGCAACTGAATTTCGAAACTTCAGTCCACAAACATCTACTGTTTAGTTGTTGAACTAAACAATGTTGATTGTTTGTAGGCTCTCATTTCCAATCTGGTGCTCCAAATCATTAATTATTTGCTTTAAAAAAATAAAAAAATAAAAAAAGACATCTCCAATTAATAGAGAACATAAATTAACATAAAAACAAATATTTAAAAGGAAATATATTTAAGTAGTATAAAAATTTTAATTGAAATCATACGATACAATAAAAGGGTTTGCAATCCTTTTTATCAATAGTACTCCATTTTCACCATGTTGAAGAAAAGCACAGACAATAAATTTGATTTCATTAAAGAGTGCAGAAGAGCTCCACGTGACAGAAGCTTAGCAGATTTCTTCATTGATTTGAATTTAAACCAATTTATGAGAACGTAGTTTAAATTTAAACGCAATGTTAACAAATCCAATATTTCAAATTTAATATTAAATCTTCTAGAATTGTCCTCTGCAGCCTTTTCCACAGTAGGCCCTGACTTGTTGTCCCTTGATTGATTCCATTGTCCCTTGAATTTTGAGGTCCCCACATGGCGTTTGTATAGTTTAGGTCCAAGGTTCTGAGTTCAAAGCATCATTAGCCTATTAAATTCTGGTTAATCCACAAACGAATCTTAGCCCGACCTTAGGTTCCTTAGTAATTATGTAGTTAAAAATTTACGTGCCAAGTGCCAAGATAGGTTGGGTCTATATTTAATCCACCCCTTCCAGCATCCTTAGTTGACAGTGACCAAAATTAAGTTATGTCCTCATAGTTTTTCCCCTCAAAACTATGAAAGAATGTAAAACTAGTGTTCTAACTTGAAAGGAGTAATAACGGATATAGCTATATTAGGACATTCCGGAAGACTCCTCTTACCAACAATGCTAACCTAAATCTTTTAAGACTTTTAGTTGTCTAGAAGAGCATGGGGTGAAATATACAAGTGTAACCAAACCAAGCTTTGTGTCCCACTCAAGTGGGATCGGCTACAACATTCTGCTCTGTCAAGGGATATTCGTTCAATGAAATATATGTGTGTGTGTGTACTTTAGTGTCACATACCAAGGGAAAATATCCAATGGGATTAACGGGGTTGGTGTCTTTCGCCCCCAAGTTCTCAATTGAATTGATGGGTGCCCTGCAAAACAGTCATTACATGCAGAAGTCATTATACTGATAACGATAGGAACCACATGCAGTCAGATTCTCTGCTAGGATGTTCCATTCCAAACCATAAATACAAAAATAAACAAAATATAGAAAGAAACCCAAAAAAGCCACCCATATTTTACTTGATTACCAGTTAATATGACAGGATTCACATTCTATATGATCACAGATATTTAATTCTATATTTTGCAAGGAAATTTATTCACTCAAGTAAACAAAACTAATACTTTAGTATATAATGAGAGCGCCAAGCCAATAGCAGAAACGTACCCTTTTGCTCTCTCTCTCTCTCTCTCTCAATAAAAACAGAGATGCCAAAATAGGATACACAGAGTTGAAGCTGGACAATGAGGACACAGTGAAGTAGTACAAGGAGCAGCAGCACCTGATGAAGGGCATTCTGACTACTGTTGCACCTTAAGCGTCACCATCCTTCCATTGCCGCCGACCATGGTTAGAAAACAAGAAGAATAAGAGACTCACCTGACTTTGACGTACCCGACAGAATACCGGTATCACCAAAATTGACCGAAATTCTCTAGTTTTGAAATGGTATTTGATCTAGTGTGAAATAATTCATTGATGTTAAAAATCCTTATATGGCCACAAATTAAACTTTCCAAAATTGCATGAATCAGAATATCATCAATAGCACTCAAATGACACCAAAATAAAAAGTTTTTAAAACTTCTAAAGGCCTGGATGGATTACAACCTAAGATAAGCCTTCTATCTAAAATAGTTCCCAAAAAGAGAAACTTCTAACAATAAATAGTTCCCAACAAATGAAATATCCTAGACAACTAGTGTTGGACAATCTTCACTGTATTTAAATAGATTAAATTCTGTTGTGTACAAAACAACAACAAGAATATAAAGAAATAAAGAAAATGAGAGAATTTGTTTGATTACAAAAATTAAACTTGAAATATAAATAAATAAATAAAAACAGATTAAGTCCAGTGTTTAACACTGTGTCCTTAAGACAGATTCGTTCTCTCCACGGTGCTTTCAGAATGTGGACGTCTATCTCCCAGGATAAAATGATCTACTACAAACAATAGCAGCACTACAAATTGTTTGTCTAACGAACACACAAAGTGTTTATACTCTCTCTGACAAGAAAATAATGCAGCAAAATGAAGAGGATGTTTGCAGAATTATGAAGGACGAAAATTAGAGTTCCAAAATCCAAATGAGGGTGGTCCTATTTATAGATGTGAAGGTGGCTCTTGGATTTGAAA